TGACGTGGTCTCCCCAGTACATTACTAAACATGCATCATTACATCGCATCAGTACATCGCATCTACTAAAATGCATATCATTTCCATTGCATGGAGCATTACGCTATAAAAAAATTCAAACATGCATAAGTATAAGCCAATTATGTCCACTTGTGGTAACCAGATTGTTATGCGCTCAGATTTGATTTATCTCCATAACAAGCCTAAGGGTGACTCTATTATGTTTCCCCAGCGGGGTTTGTTTTGATTCACCATCAGTCGGGTCTTCGGTATTCCTCCATCTCCCCAGTAAGTTTGTGGTTTGCGCTTGCCTTTGCAAGCCTTTTGTTATTTTTCCCGTGTTTTCTTTGCCGTTAGAGTGCGAGTAAGAGTCGGCGTATAGCCTTTCTTATTTCTCAAGTATTTGAGTGTCCATACTTGGTGTGTGGTAATTCAGATAACTGCCACTCTTGAAGAATTACACCCCGCCTTTGGCCTGAGGAATTTTGTAGTTCTTGCGCATTTGCAAAACTTTTAAAGCCTAACACATGTTGGCAATCCTTGTTTAGAGTCCCTACAGTTGGTCTTTTTTTTTCTTCTGATCACAAGACCGCCTTCGACCGGCGTTCTGTTTAAGTTCAATACATATGGGATTCCCCAGTAAATCGTGGTTTACACTTGCCCTTTCAAGCTTTTGGTTATTTTACCCATGTTCGCTTTGCCGTTAGAGTGCGAGTAAGAGTCGGCGTATAGCCTTTCTTATTTCTCAAGTATTTAAGTGTCCATACTTGGTGTATGGTAATTCAGATGACTGCCACTCTTGAAGAATTACACCCCGCCTTTGGCCTGAGGATTTTTTTTAGTTCTTGCGTATTTGTAACCTATCGAAAGCCTAACATGTTTTTCTTTGTTAGAGTCTGCTTGGACCAGTCCCTTTCTCTTGCAGAGTTCACATTCGATCGGTGCTCTTTGAAGGTCCTGCTTAGTCGGTTCCTTGTTTTGGTTTATCCATGTTAGTCGGGTCCTCCTTTCGTTAGCCTAGCTAATCTTTTATGTTAAGAGTCTTTCAGTGTCTCTTCAAAGTCTAGTTGTCTAGCATCCTTATTTAGGCGAATGCGCCCTTTTATTAGGGCTTTCGTCGGTTAGTCTCGTTCCTGTGTTCGCTAGCAATTCTAAACATTTGTTTCTTGATGATCAACTTCGCTCTTGTGTATCTAATTCTGACCAGACGTGCATACCTGTATCTTTCAAAACCCCGCTTCGGCTGGTATCTTTTGTCAAAATCCCGCTTCGGATGGTGTCATTTCTTTTAAATCCACCTTCGATTGACATCATTTGTCCGGAGACCCATTCGTTTGGTCTCCTTCCTCAGTAAGTCCGCCTTCGATTGGTGTTTCTTTGCAAGAGCTTTCTTTGATATCTCTTTTGTGCGTATCCGATACCGACCACGAATATGTATCTTTGATATCTCTTTTTTGCGTATCCGATACCGACCACGGATATGTATCTTTGATATCTCTTTTGTGCGTATCCGATACCGACCACGGATATGTATCTTTGATGTCTCTTTTGTGCGTATCCGATACCGACCACGGATATGTATCTTTGATGTCTCTTTTATGCGTATCCGATACCGACCACAGATATGTATCTTTGACGTCTCTTTTGTGCGTATCCGATACCGACCACGGATATGTATCTTTGATATCTCTTTTGTGCCTATCCGATACCGACCACGGATATGTATCTTTGATATCTCTTTTGTGCGTATCTGATATCGACCACGGATATGTATCTTTGATATCTCTTTTGTGCGTATCCGATACCGACCACAGATATGTATCTTTGATGTCTCTTTTGTGCGTATCCGATACCGACCACGGATATGTATCTTTGATATCTCTTTTGTGCGTATCCGATACCGACCACGGATATGTATCTTCGATATCTCTTTTGTGCGTATCCGATACCGACCACGGATATGTATCTTTGACGTCTCTTTCGTACGTATCCAATATCGACCACGGATATGTATCTTTGATGTCTCTGTCGTATGTATCTGATACCGACCACGGATATGTATTTTCGATACCTGTTTCATATGTCTGCTACCAACCTCAGACATATGTTCTTGTATCTTTGACGTCTCTTTCGTACGTATCCGATACCGACCACTGATATGTATCTTTGATGTCTCTTTTGTGCGTATCCGATACCGACCACGGATATGTATCTTTGATATATCTTTTGTGCGTATCCGATACCGACCATGGATATGTATCTTTGATATCTATTTTGTGCGTATCCGATACCGATCACAGATATGAATCTTTGATGTCTCTTTTGTGCGTATCCGATACCGACCACGGATATGTATCTTTGATATCTCTTTTGTGCGTATCCGATACCGACCACAGATATGTATCTTGTCTATATCTTTTATGCGTATCCGATACCGACCACGAATATGTATCTTTTATATCTCTTTCTTACGTGTCCGATACCGACCATGGATATGTATTTTTGATGTCTCTTTCTTGTATATCCGCTACCAACCCCAGATATGTGTCTCTGATATTTTTTCGTATGTCTACTACAGGCTTCAGGCATATATATTTTGATACCTTTCTTACAGGTGTTTGTTACTAAATCCCAACAGATGTTCCTTGATAACCAAGTTATTTTGCTATGTATCAAACTCTGGTTAAACATACATCTAACCCCGAAGACCCATGTAATCCAAAAAGAAAAATAATATAATAAAAATAGATTCCGAAAAAGAAAAATAATAATACCTGACTGACTCCGGAGCACAAATTTTTGGGTCCTTTTAAGTATTTAATCTTCTTCCACCTTGAAAGTTCGAAAGGCTGGCGCCAATCTCACCTTCAGGTTGAAGATGATTAAATAGGGGCAACTGTTGCACCCAAAAATTTTCCCACCTAATTTCCTTTATTTTGGCTTAGACTTTTGCATTCATCTGCATCTTTTTTCATTAGGTCACTAACATGGCATACATTTCATTCAATATAGCTCTGAGGTTCAAATTTCAGTGGTTGTGCGATACTAGGGTTTCATAGTGGTTAAGGCGCTCATATCCAATAAAGGACTTCTTCTCCCTTAAGCAGCAAGGCTATTATCTTCTGATGAACAACCGATTGTAGGTCATTCTGGTCAAGAACTCTAGGACGTGACCTAGCATATGTGGGCTTCGAATCATGACGTCCTTTCCTATAAGTATGCTTGTCATTTGATTAGGATTAATGACTGTGACATGATAATCGTCTACTCCTCAGTTAATCAAATTAGGTTTTGTTGAATCATGGTTCAAAGATGTTTTATCCGGATATTTCTTTGTGCGTCTGAACGAGGAATCAAGATTATGAGGGTTTCACATCAAGGGAATTCTTCTGTGATTCAGACTTTATCATCCATCTGTAAGATGTTCCTTATGACACTAATCTCAAGTTGAAATAACCGATCTCTAAGGGTTGAGGATTGAATTGTGAAGCGTGGTTCATGACCTAAGATATGAATTCATAGATTTCTCCTTAACCAAGGCCATCATTGTCCTCATCATTGTCATTTGTTATCTGCGATGTGAGTAGGTTTGGATTGAAGTAGGTTTCCCATAGAAGAATTCATGCAAGGTAATTCAAGGTTCAAGGCATTCAAGGCAGGGTTTGTTCAACATGGCATACCTGGTTGATGGGCTTACAAGCTCTTATGAGACCTTGAGATGCATAATCATGGGTCAATTTCAAAGATATGTGGATAAGATCTGTTGACTTCGGTTAAAGTAAGCTTTGAAAAATTAAATTTGGGACCAAGGTCTCCCTTGAATTTTCATCTAATATGTGTTGGGAATTCGAGTTGCATTTGAAGAATGGTATGGTAAAGGAAAAGAAATATTGGTTCAGAAAAGAAAAAATTCATTAAAAATCAGGGTTTCTATTCATTGATAAAAGTTCAAGTAATTGAAGATCATGGGAAATAAGGTTTCATATTAATCTTGATCATATTCTTTCATTATCATTTACATCCATCTTTGATGATTTAAGGTCGTCAATTAGGGAAGGACTTTGTCAAGATAAGAGACTTGTGGATTGAATCGTGGAATATGAGGCATGATACAAAAGGCAAGGGTATGAATTTTTTAGGATCAAGATCTTATTGACTATTCAAATTATTTGTCATTCAAGTTGATTTGGGTTCAAGATTGAAGTTAGGAGTTCATTGAGAATGCAAGTGTGATTTGGATTTGAAGTTTGATTTGAGTTCAAGATGTTCGAAAGTGTTTGATTGGATTAAAGTTGGCAAAGAGCCTTAAGTATTGGTCATATGAGTTTCTTGGAAGGTAAAGTACAGACTGCGAGGTCTTGTTTCAAGTCGGAGTTCATACGCATTACAAAGACGTTCATCGTTATTCCAGATTCAAGTTGACATGTGTTTAATGTTTACTCGAACCCTTTCATTCATGATTCAAGAAAATACTATCCAATTCCATTCAATTTCATTCAAGTGTAACAATACCTTACAAGAAAATTTGATGCTTTCATGTCTTCAAGCATTTTTTCAAGACTTTGTCATTTAAACTCCGTCCTTAAAATTCATCACCCAACATTTCAAGCTCAAAGGTTATTTACAATTCACACTATAAATTTCAAGTTCATCCAAACCAAACATTCATTATAAAATCATTACAATCCCATTACACCAATATTCTACAAAGAAAAAAAACTGTTACAAAATACACTTGAACAAAAATTCTTTAGTCCTAAAGGTGCTGAAATTCCATGAGTAAACTTCTAATTCCATGCCATGCCAAAGTTCTTCATCTTCAGTTCATGACCTGCACATTCATACAAAAAAAAATCCAAGTCAATACAAGCAATCATGCCAAAATATCCTATGCTCATACAAATTATTCGACACGTGAAAAACCATTAATTAACCCAAACCAAATGCTAAACACATATATGGAACAAACCTCTCTCTTTCATTTCTTACTCATTTCTTTGATGGCTTCTGCTGTTCCCGCCCAAACCATCGACGCCGATGAACTTCTGTTATGCTCGATTCTCCACCGAACCGACTTCGCTTTGCAGATAAACGCCAATCCTAACGTATGGGCGGAGGAAATCACCTCCATGCTTCACTCCTCCGCCGTCACTCTCCCCTCCGTCGAGCTTGCTCACCGTCTAGTTTCTCATTTCTTTTGGAACTGTCACGGTCCTACCGCTTGGAAGATTCTTGATGTTTCTGCCTCCCGCAATATCATCCCTCCCTTGCTCCTCCTTGCTCTTCTCTCCACCAGGATTGTTTATTGTAGGAGACTTCAACCGATAGCTTATAAACTTTACTTGGAACTCGTTAAGCTACATGCGTTTATGCTGGAAACTCATTTCAATTCTCCTAACAACCAAATGATTATGGAATCAATTGATGATGTTATTAAGCTTTCTCAAATATACGGTCAAAAGGATTGTGAACCAGGAGTTGTTCTTGTGGAATTTGTCTTCTCAATTTTATCGCAGTTGCTTGAAGCATCTTTAGATGATGAAAGGTTATTATATAATATTCCAGAGATTAAGCCAAGATGGCTAAGCAATTCACATGATATGGATATTGATGTGCCTGACTGCAACAATAGAATGCATCGTAGGCAGAAGGAGTGGTTGCTGAGGGAAAATACAAAGTTGGCTATTGAGATCATTGTAGAATTTTTGCAGAATAAAATGACATCAAGGCTTCTTTCCTTAGTTCATCGAAACATGCCATTACACTGGGGATCTTTCAATTACCAAATGCAGTTGCTTGCATCAAACTCTTCACTTTTGAGGAATTTGAAACATAATGCAAACACCCTTTTATCTTTAATGGAAAATATTCGTGTGGGTGTATCTCATGAACGCAATACAAAATCTAAGCTGGAGTCTAATGTAGTAGTCACACCTACTGGTTCTCAAATATCTTTTGCTGGTCAATCTTATGGTAGTAGTTGGTCTTCACTCTGGCTTCCTATTGATCTTATACTTGAAGATGCTTTGGATGGAGGGCAAGTAGCAGCTTTTAGTGCTATTGAAATTATTACTGGTTTGGTAAAGCTTTTACATTCAGTAAGTGGCTCTAAGTGGCAAAATACATTTTTGGGTTTATGGACTGTAGCACTACGGTTGGTTCAAAGGGAAAGGGATTTAAAAGCAGGCCCTATACCTCGTCTTGATACCTGCATGTGTTTGCTGTTGAGCATTACAACCCATGTGGTTGCAAATATTGTTGAAGAAGAAGAAAGTGAGTTGATTGAAGAAGCTGAACGCGGCCCTTCAAATCAAGGAAAAAGTAAATAGGTTCTGGGGAAGCGTCATGGGGAATTTATTACTAGTTTGCTGTTATTGGGTAATTCTCAGTGTTTGCTTATTCCACCTCAAACTGCTCTCATGGATGCCAATCAAGCTGCCGCCAAGGCTACTAAGTTTGTATCACGAAACCATGTGGGTAGTGGGTACGTAGAATCATTGACCATGGATGACTTGCTTACGAACTGCTCTGGCAACTTACTGCATCTAATTGTTGAGGCATGTATTGCAAGAAATATACTCGACACATCAGCATATTTTTGGCCTGGCTATGTGAAGCCCCGCAGCAATCAAATTCCTTTCAGCATTTCTAACCATGTGGATGGATGGTCTGCATTGATGAAGGGATCACAGTTAACTCCTGGATTAGTTGATATCTTAGTTGCAACTCCTGCTTCCAGCTTAGCGGAGATTGAAAAGATATATGAAATTGCAATCAATGGTTCAGACGAAGAGAAGATATCTGCTGCTACCATTCTGTGTGGGGCATCTCTAGTACGTGGATGGAATATACAGGAACACAATATTATTTTTATCACAATGTTGCTCACACCTGTTGGTCTGCCTAATCACACTGAGACCGAAAGCCATTTGATCAACCTGCTCTCACATGGGTCTCTACCAATAGTGAAAGACTTGCCCGGATTGATTCCAATTTTGAACTTAAGATGCACACGCTGCAGTATGTAGAGGTTGTGCAAAACAAAACCCAAGTTGATGCACTAAAATATTCCAGAACTTAATTCTAAAATCCTCTACTTCCCTCAAGGACATTCCGAGCATACACATGAACATGTCAGCTTTCCTGCTAACTTCAACACTCCATCCAAAATTCCATGAAGAGTTGCAGCTGATCCCGACACGGATGAAGTGTATGCAAAACTAAGGCTCTTTCCTCTGCATCCTAGCGATGTTAATTTTGATGGTGACACTGTTGCTGGCGTCAATGATAATCTGATGCAATCCTATACAAAGACCTTGACACAATCTGATGCAAATAATGGTGGTTTCGCTTGTCCTAAGAATTGTACAGAAATAATTCTTCCTCCATTATACTGTTCAGATAGGCTTCCTTCTCAGGACAACTGGACTAGGGGGATTCACTTGTGTTTGTGAAAGCTGCAAACAGTGATTTTCATATTGGAATTCGAAGGAAATGAATGTAGATTTAACTTTCCATCAAAGAGGAAACCTAAAACGGGAACTCTTCCTCAATCACTTTACGCTGCTGATCCAGCATGGTCTGACTCCCTTTGGAAAATTCTGCAGGTTACATGGGATGATCCTGATTTAGTTACAAATACGAAGAGGCTGAACCCCCCTAGCGATTTTCTAAAAGATTGTTAACCTCCATAACTGCTAACCAATTATAACTGAATTTAAAACTCTCAAACTGTAACTAACTTCCTCATCTCCTAACAACCTAGTGCTAACCTAATTTTGAAACTAACAAAATTTCACTTCTAAAAAAAAACCGTCAAAGTTAACTTCTAACTGACTACACCAAGTTACTGAATTTAGAAAACTAACTCTAACAATAGTTTTTAGCTTCCAACTGACTTGTTCCTAACATCTAACATACCTAACTTCTAAGAGAAATTTCAATGGCAGTTATTAACAGAACCAATAGGAGTTAACAGTTCTAACTACTTAAAATCTGACCGTTCATCTTGTAACTGACTGATTTGATTCAAGGGCTCAGATCTTCACGTCTCTAACCGTTTCCATCTCCCTCAACTACCTATATAATCCAAAACTCCCCAGCAGAGGAGGGGACTTTATCTTTTCCAGTTTCAAACTTCATCCTCTCTCCACCATTTTTTTCTATCCTCTTCCATCAACACGCTTCATTGTTCACCCAGAACTCAAAAAGTTTTCGGAATTCTCTCTCTTTCTTCTCTAACCAATACTCTTCACCCTTCAAGCCACTCTTCATTTTTACTTACTTCTGAAACCCTGCTTCATCTTCATCAAATCATCTCTCTGTAAACTCAAATCACACTCCTACGATCTCACTCAAACACAACTCACAACGACAACCGCAACAACCCTATTCTCCTTCCTATCAATGCTCATCAATACACGCACTTGGAAGTCACAAAGAAACGCAAGAAAAAAGAAAGAAGAAGAAGAGAGGAAGAATAGTTCACGCAACCGGAGTTATAGAAAGTACGTACCTGAAGTCAAATAATCTCGCCGATAATCACTTTCCCCAGATTGTATTCTGGCCGGTAAGCCTTAACTTCTCTCTATTTCTTCATCAATTTCACTATACCATATTTTCTCTATTCGCGATTCGGTGTGAAGTTTATGAGGAAGGGAGTTGAACCGATGAAAGAGAGAGGAGTTGTGGTGGCGTTGGGCTGTCTTATGATGGCAAAATGAATCGTCTGAGAAGGAGGTTGCGGCACCATTGGTGTTGAGGGATCGGAGAAGAGGACGATTGGGGATGACGCGCCGTTGAGAGTCAGAAACAAAGGGAGTCTGTGTTCGAAGATTTGAACCGTCACCCAAACTTAACCTAATTCCCTAAAATTTTGTTATTTAATTGTTTTTTTTGTTATAATCAATAAAAACGTAATATGAATAATAGGGAGGCTGTTAGTAATTTGTTTGTGAAGTAAGTGGACCGAAACTCACCCAAAATGTAGTCCAATATGCAATTTTTTTTTGTTGCATTTTTGATGTTGGTGAGACATAAATAATTGTTTGGACTATATTGATGGGCCTTCAGCGCCTGTTTGCTAGATCATATCTCATGTTCCCATATTGCACCCCCTGGGCTGGTTCTCACTATTTGCAATTTCTTTTTTTCTTAATTTCAATTATGGTTTAAGACTTGTTTTAATTTTCTTCACAAAATAAAAATAATAAAAATCAGTAAAATTTGTTAGATTTTTTTTCTTATTTTGATTTTTAGGAATTAATTCATGGTTATCCGATTATTCGAAATTCATGATTCACCTTTGTTTGTTGAGATTTAAATCTTATGCCGGTTTATTATGCGGTATGAGGATACGCTTGAAATTTCGATTGTGATTTATTTTCACATCGATGATGCTTCAACACTTATTCCGAGCATTGGATTTCTAATTCTTTTCTTTGTTGATGCTAGCAGCTCGTGAGATCATCAAGTTTCTTTGCTTTTTACTTTGCTCTACGAGCTAGTACTCGTTTGGTATATTTTATTTCCACTCTCACCCCACATTTATCACTTCCCATAGATTGCATGGTATGATGACTTTAGGTTTAGAAATAGGTTAGTCTCCCTGTGACTTTTCTTTTTTTCTTTTCGCATATGCATTAAAAAAATAAAAACTTCTTTTTCTCGTAAACTTCAAAAATACAAAAAAATTTACTGACGAGAATCATATCTTCGTTAAGTATGTGAGACGATAAGCGGGTCTCTTCTCGACCTTATTGATCTCTTATTCTAAGCTTTGGTGTGGTTTAAGTCTCAAAGACTCATTTCATGAATAAGTAGAGAAATGGCTAAAATCTCTCTCTTGAGGTTAACTAGCTATTATCTACAAGCAAAAACACCAACAAACATAAAAATATTTTTGCCCTCGGGCCTTTCTTTCAAATCCTTTTCAAAAGAGCGTATTAATTCACTTCTGTGTTGACGCATAAATCTCCAAAGGTCGAGTTGCGGCAGAAGGCGAGATTAATATTGTTCGTTAAAGAAAATACAAACAAACAAAAACACATAAGCCGAACTACGGCTGCTCTGATTCCTTAAAACGGATACGTAGGCATCGGGGTAGGGCCCGAACGAGCACAATTTTATTTTCCCTACATTCTTTTCTCCTTTTCTTTTGCATGCACTTTCCCTTCCCTTTAGCAATAATAGACAGTAAGCATAGATTAAACACACCCATAAGATAGATAACAAGAGTGGATACCGTAGAGTACTACGGGCGTGTGGGGTGCTAATACCTTCCCCTCGCGTAACAGACTCCCTTACCCTTATCTCTTGGTCATTCGACCTTGGTTTCATCCTTCTCGGGTTTTCTCGATGTTTACCTTTCCCTTCATGTGGGATAAAAGACGTTCGATGGCGACTTCATTGTTTGATGATTTTCAGTCGGTTGTTTCACACGCCAGCCAATCTACATCCTCAGGTCTAAGAAGATTGAACAGGGGCAACTGTTGTACCCCAAAATTTTCCCTCCCATACTCTTTAAGATTTGCCAAGATCAAGTTTCAAAATCTCTCAAAGGTTGCACAGTCCTATTGCCTCCCAACACAGTCAAAATTAGGGTTTTGGTTCTTGCAAAGAAATTGAGGTTTCCAAGGGTCCAATCAAGTCCCATATGTCTACATACATTGTCAAGCATCCATATGTCAAGTTTCAAGACTCACAACATCAAGTTGCACAGTCAAAAACCCTAATTGCTCCACAGTCAACTGCAGGGGCAAAATGGTCATTTGACAGTCATAAGTCAAATTTTTTGGTCAACATCTTATTTTGAAGCCACAAACATCATTTGATCAATTCTTGATCATGATTCCTCAAGGCATGGCTCAAAAAGTCTCAAGATGCAAAAGTTTCTATTTTTGGACAGCTGAAAAGTCAACTGCAAATTGACCAAGGCATAACTTCTTCATGGTTTATCATAAAAATCCCATCCAAATCTCATTTTGAAGGGGATGAAATTTCCTACAACTCATATTCACACTTCAAGTCCAAGAAATGCTCTCACAAAAAGTTATCAATTTCAACATTATAGGTCATTTTCAAAAGTCAATAAAAAGGCACTTTAAGTCAAAGACCATAACTTGAGATTGGTAAATCAAAATGACATGGGACCAAAGGCATTGGTTAGAGGACTTCAAGACCTTTCCAAAATGTCCAAGAACATGATCATAGCTTCAAAATTGAGCAAGATATGCATTGGAGAAGTTGGGAAATTTTTGGGAATTTTGAAAAGTCAACTTTGCCTAAAACACTTCAAAATTGCTAATGGGCCTCAAATTCTTCCTTGAATCATTACCCAAAGCCTATGCACGACCCATTGAGGTTAAAAGGATTCATTTTCTTATTTTTAATTAATTAATTGAATTTTTATTCTTATTATTTCATTTAATTAATTTTAATTGTAGAAAAATATCAAATAATGCTTTTCAAATCTTTTTGTGCAGCAAATCATACTAGGGAAAGCTGGCTAGGTCGTTTCACATCCAAAAAAGGAAAATCATCCATGATTGGCAAAGATTTCAATGAAAAAAGATTGGAAAATATATGGAAAAAATCAAATATTGAAATCATCAATTCAATGGACTTTTGGGCTTTGTTTTGACCTTGAAATATTCACATACATATGCACAAGGAAGCCTAATTCAGGAATACACGAAAAGCTGCTCATAAACATAGAACAAAGTTGCAACTTTTCATTAAAAATTTGAAAACTAATTTCGTATTTGCAGGATCATTCAAGGCCTAAAACCTATTCCAACACCTTGCTGACATTGCTGGGAATCTATAGCAACCAAGAACAAGCTTCCACGTCCAAGGAAACGGTAGAACAGAATCGTGTTATTCACAAAAAATTTCATAATCGAATTCTGCATTCTATGCATCATTGTTATATTTTGATTGTTGATTTACACTAATAATGATCTTCTGAAGCTTTTGGTAACATTTAATTGGACTAACACTGCCTGTAGCCAAATCCACCATTGATGAAACCTAGGGATTCAGAAGCTTCAAAATAGGGCTTCTCATATAGGGTAAAATTAGACCACCAAACCTGTATGGACACATTCGTGGCAACAAGACGAATCCAATGATGCCCTCGCGCCCTTTTTATATTTATTCCTCTTCTAATCGTTATTTTTACAGTTTCCATTTAGTGGGGGTTTAAAACCCCCGCTACTTGTTTTATGTTTACAGGAAAAAGATGAAGAAGAAGTTGAGGTGTCTGAGCGTGATAGGAGCGTTCAAACTTTGGCGCGGCTTTTTTAATATTTTAGCATAATGGACATATTTTATATATTATGTTTCTTTATTATATTATATACAAACGAACGCAATAGATCAACTGGCAAGGGACGTGTACTGCATGCATTGGGACCTGTGTTCGATTCCGAGGTCCCCCCATATGTTTAATAAT